GGGCGGGCCCACGTGCCGTATAGCAAAAACCTCTCCAAAAAATTTTTTTTTCCTTGGGTCAGCCCTATAGTCTAGTTGTTAAGGGAGCCAGATCCCATATGGCCAACCATAGTTCAAATCCGGCCCTGGTGGCTTGAAAAACACTGGATGCATGTGTGTGCATGCCCTAAATCCCAACAGAAAAGGGATGGAGGAGAAGGAATTGTGGTGTGACTATGCCCTATTGGAATGGGGGGTGATGCTTTCTCCTTGCCTGCTTCTCTGGCAAGCACACACATCCTCTGGTAATTAAAAGAAAAAAAAAAACTTTTCAAATTTTTTCTTTTAATAAGTCATTGACTTCTAACCCAACAACCACTCTAGGAAGATTTAAAAATGCCACACAACTGAGTAGAAAAGTGGTAGATGACCTTTCTGATACACAAATATCTTTATGGAAAAGTCATATTTATTTATTTATTTTAAGTTTGCTATAGGGTACGTGTACTCACCAGAGAGAGAAAGAGAGGGGGGAGTGAGATAGCAAGCCACCAGGCCCGGGACTTGAACCATGGTTGGCCATGTGCAAGTCCAGCGCCTTAACCACCATATCACTTGCTGATCCCCACTTTATGGAAAAGTTAAATGGTGCTTCATAAAATTATTAGCTCTAAGTTCTCAGTTCTAAGTGCCTGAAAAATTTCCTGAAGAGAAAACTAGCAAAATGAAAAACATCCTCAGGAAGGATTTTATACACCATCAGGCACAAAACAAATCTCTCAAAGTCAGTTTCTTCTACTTCTTACCTTAAATAAACAATAGAAACAACCCCTACTACTTTGTTATCTTAACTTCTGCAAAGCCACACTGAATTTATTATCACTTGGAGTTTATAAATTCTCACCATCTCACCTCAAGAAAGCTACAAGAGACTTGTATGAACCCCCAAAAGGGACAATTAAAATAAGTGAAGTAAAGGATGGACTTCTATTTGATGATAAACTAACAAAAGGTCTTCTCAGACTACAATAAGACATGCAATCCACAAGTAAGATAAAGTGACATCAGATCCTACAGCAAATCCTAAAATGTAAGAAACTAAAAGACAACTCTTCAAGGCTATAAGGGGTAAATTCAGGACAAATCAAAAGTGCAACTTGGTAAAAAGAGTTTTATACAGTTTCTTCTTCTAAGAGATAGTGCCAGAAACAAGATTAGGTACAAGAAGAAAATAAATGCGCACATCGGGGCCTTGGGGAGATCAGGGTGGTTCTGCAGAACAGAACTATTATAACATTTTAAGCTGACCCAAAGGATGACCCACAGAGAGCTTCACCACATGACTTGGACTTCTGTCACAGAGAAGTCCTGAGAGCCCTGCCTAGGGCTCTGACAGCACAGGGCTGAGCCAGGATCATTGTGGAGGTAGACAGGGCCTTCTTCCCAATTACACTGAGAAATTCTTGGATTTCCATTCTGTGCTGTAGGGACTTACCATGCTCCTCCTTAAACCTGCATTCCCACCAGAAGGGCTCACACTCCATGTCTTTAGCTCAGCCTAGTCCTAGAACCTGGAAACCCCTTTCTTCCTCTCACCTCCTCCCTCACAACATCTACCTAGCTGACCCATATTCATTTTTAAGGATTGTGCACAAGTTTGACTTGTCTGAGAAATGTTTCAAAAGCAAGAGAGCATTCCAAGAAATGTAGGTATGAACATCACAGGCTTTCTCAACATACTACCTGGCCCAACTGTGCCATCACTTTGCTGTGTGACTCTGAGCAAGTTACCTAACTGTTCTGAGCTTCAGTGTCCTAATCTATAAAATGTAGATATTAATTACCTATCTTATTATGGGGCTGTGACATTGTGAAATATATATTTGGTCTTGTGGTTTTTATATTTAAAGAATTTAGGCTAGTGTCTAATATGTATAACCTCTCAACAAGCTCTTCATGCCATGATTCACCCTGTCTCGGCTAACCTAGATTACAAGCATGTGCCTGGTGTGCTCAAGGAGGCCCCAGAGGACAAACCCAGGACATTTTCCATGTGGGTCCAGTTGTGCCACCACCTGGTGACCTGTGTATCTTTTTACACAAGAGATTTTTCATCTTTTCCTGACATTATTAATAGAGAAAATCCTTCAAGAAAATACTGGCAGACCTATTATTACCATTTTTTGAGCATGTTAACAAGTGCTATTTCTGCATTCATTAAGCACTCACTATGTGCCATGCACCATGCTGGATACAGGAAACACAGAGCAATGAGACTTAGCACCTGTCCCTTGGGGAGCACCCTGTATTTACAGAGGAGGGATATGGACACACA